ATATAAAATCATTAAGTTAAAAGAGACTTGATTGAGTATATTTTGTTGCTAAACGCCACTCATTTTGTGGTTGTCCCCAACTTTTTTTCATAAAAATAAAGTGCAATTGAGTAATTTATTCTCATTTTAAGGAAAATAAAAGATTTTTAATTTGAATCTAATAATATATAAGTAATATGAGTTAATAAAAAAAAATATCACCTCTTTTTATATAATCTAATATGAAGAAAAAAAATTGTTTGGACATAAGTGTCAACATGTTAAGTTAATTTCACTAAGGTCCTTTAAAATTTAAATTGAAAAAAAAAAGGAGAAAAAAAATCAAAACTAATTGACATCGAGTAAGACGTTTGGTCCCCAATTGACAAGAAATTAAGTTCGTGACACAAGATAAAGTCAGCTATCCAAGCTATCAATTATTTTTTAGCAAAAGAAATGTTAGAAGGGGCTACGTCTACCGTGCATTTGGAATTGCGTGGTGGCATACATGGACTCACTCATGGCCGTCCGATTCATCAACGAAGGCAGAGAACCAGACAATCAATCCGCTGCTCTCCCGTTGGATATTAAGATTTTGATGAAAGAGTTCGAATTGTGCTAGTTGCAACATACTTTGTGTGTGAAGGCAATGTTGCGGCTGACCTCTTGGGTTCTCTTGGTCATCCCAGGCACCAATATCTTAGATTCTCCACCTTTTGGTCTTCACCACATCCTCGTTAGGGACTTGTTAGGGGCTAGCTTCCTCTGATCTTAGCTTCGTAGTTTAAGTTTTCTGTGGATGATTATTGTTAAAAATAAATAAATAAAAATAAAAACGCTTTCATTGTTGTTGAGTTGAAAATAGGGTATTGGAGTACTTAGGATAACAATTTTTTCCAAAACTTGCAGAGTTTTGCAATGATAAAGGTTTAAAGAATATTTTCCTCTGTAATGTCAGGATGAAGACAATTTTTTTCTCACAAAATTTTATAAGAAATTTTCCCCGTTTCACAAGTTTCTGTCAAGATTCATATATGATAAAAAATAAAATTATATTTCTATAAATTATAATCTATTTATTAAAAAATAAAACCCAATTAATTTTTACTCAACTTAAATGGTCTAGTGCAATTCCTCTTCTGGATCTTCCCCAAACCCAATTATTAGAACATTTTTGCAGCATATTTGCATATGTAAAGTGCATATATATTTTGCATCTCTTTTAACTTAAGTTAATTAAAAATATATAAAATGTTGATTAAAATAAATATTAAATATATAAAATATATTTTATATATTTTTAAAATGTTATTTTTAAAACATTAAAGGATTAAAAAAATCTATAACAAATG